AAGGGAAGAGAAACAGAGAGCTCAAAAGGTGAGGAAATTGCACTTATTCTATCAAGTCCTAAGCCACCAGGAATCTCATGTCTTGGGTGGGATTTAGCAGGTGCTTCTTCTTTAGCCCTGAAAGAACATATGTCCATTTCCATGGATAAAACCAAATGATAATTCACATTTCTTCCTTTAGAAGTAAAAAAATAAGTACTGTTATAATTCTTCTCTTGAGGAAACTCATGAACTAGTGACTTGATGTGTCCTTTAAAGATATATCAAACAGTTCCTGTGGTGGTGTTGGTTCCCCCCTCCCCCCCCCCAATGCTTTTATGAGTAATCTGAAAACAAAGGTGGTAAAAGTCACTGTGGATGAAATGTTGTTCCTTTAAGTCCCAGCAGCATTTGGGGGGGTGGGGGGGGAGTGGAGCACAAAGTCTGCATGGGCTTTAAATGGGGACTGGTGTCTTATACAAGGGACGTGAGGCTGCTCCAGTCACCCTCCTCAGCTGGCAAAGAGGCATCATAGACTTCAAAGAGCTGGTCGATGTTGACACAGTTGGAGAGGCAGTCATTTGTGCCCTCATCCCAGGGGTTCTCCAGAAAAGCTGTGGCCATCAAGGTTTCATCCAGGTCTGGGTTGGTTTGGTTGCATTCGGTGAGGACCTGCTCCTGCCCCTGGGGACAGTTGATGTGGCCGTGTGCCTCCAAGTCCACATCACCTAAGATAGGGCCGATTGGAGGCGTGAGCTCCAGGTTTTCAAAAGCTGAGAAGTTTTCACTCAGGTTGGTGTCAAAGATGGCTGACCAGTCAAAGTCACCTTTGAGGGACCCCAGCTCGGTCTGCTCCTCCTGAGTCAGCAAGGGAGAACTGGAAACACGAGCTACCTTGGCCGTTCGGTTGGGCAGGGGCTGCTTGCGCTTGCACCCCGCTTTGCCATCCTCTGGATTCATGTTCTGGCTCCCAGTGAGTTCTTCAAACTCCTTCAGCAGCTGCTGCGACTCCATGTTGACGTTGAGGATGTTATTGGAGGTGCAAACCAAAGAGGATGGGCTGGTGGCACATGGTGGATCCTGCAGGGTTGTTTTGGAGAAGGCCGGGTGGATCTGCACCGGGGGCACCTTCCTCTTCTTGAAGGCACCGTTCTTGAGCCGGTCGGCGTATTGGGGGTCCAGCTTCCAAAATCCCCCTTTCCCTGGTTCACCTTTCTCCCGAGGCACCTTGATGAAGCACTTGTTCAAGGAGAGGTTGTGCCGGATGGAGTTCTAGAACCAAAGAGAGAAAGAAAGCCAAGGCTGAATGTTGGCCAGCTGCCCTAGCACCTACCTGCGTGGGAAGATGGGTGGACAAGTGTGTTTTCAGCAAGGACCTTGGGGAAAAAGAAGGCAAAATCAGTAACATCAGGACACCCTGGGCTACCTGCCCAGCAGAAACTCCCCTGAGTCACCAGCAGTGTTCTTGTCTCCTGTCTAACCCAGCCAGAGGTGGCAAGAGCCAAGGGTTTCAGGCTGGGACTTGCCAACCAACAGGAAGCTTTTAGGTAACTCTTCTTGGCTGTAAACTGGGGCCATGGGGCTTTGGATCAAGCAGAACACCGGGAGAAACTGGCCAGACTTGCTCTAGGCATGGAGCTAAGGGTCCTCCTTCATGGCTAAGGAGGAAGAGGTGGCTCTTTACGCCAAAGTAACCACAGCCGGGCCTATTGCTAGTGTTGAGGGGAAAATATTTGGCAAAAAATTAGGCACCAGGCAGGTAAACCCAGGAAACTCACGTGGAATCACTGCATCTTCATCAGCCACTGCTCAAATGAGCTGAGGGAGGGTCAAAAATGGGAATAAAAAAGAAATAGAGGAGTTTCTGCTCCTGTTGAGCTGTTCTGAACCCCTGAATGTGCCTGGAGCGATGTGAAGAATCAGGAAACTCAGTTATTGGGTAAATAACCCTGCACTAGGCTCCACAAAGCCAAGACTGTATTAAGAGATTGGATATGGTAGAGGGGTTTTTTTCCCCCCTAATGTTGCCTGGATATCTTTATGCTTATTCATCCATAATCCGTGGTGCTGAGGAGGGAAAACAAGGCTTGAATGCTTGGAGAGCTGGTGAAAAACACACACACACACACACACACACCAAAACCCTCCTCTGGGCTGAAGCTCCTTGGGTGTGTTGGCTCCTCTCCAAAGCACTCAGCTCCCACAGGAATAGATCCATCTCCCCCCGGAGGATGGGTGGCATGACCTTTCCAGGCTGTCTTCAGTACAGGAATTGGGAGAGAGGACGAGACGAGAGCCTCAGAAAGAAAGGGAAGAGAAAAGGAAAAGAAGAGAGAAAAAGGAAAGAAAAAGGGAAAAAGAAAAGAAGGAAATTAAAGAAAGGGAAAAAAGAAGAAAGCAGCAGCAGGACATAGACATCCTGAAACAATCCAGGCTGGTAACTCCAGATTTACAGCTTAACTAAGTTTTACAAGGCTCAGAGACTCACAGGCTGAATTCCCTGCTCCCCATCTCCCCTCCCTATCCCAAACCCCCTCCAGCCTCCCTCCCCAATTAGCATAGTTGTCATTCCTGCCCGCAGCAGTGCTGTGCCCTCCACGCCCCCCCCGCACCTCTGGGCAGGGATTGGAAGCCCTCTTTCTTTTATTCTTCAACACATTTAATTAAAACTGGGGTATTTATCCATGGGTTCACAGGAGCAAGTTAACACGTTGGCACAGCTCCTCCTCCTGCACATCCCCCACCTCAGGGGAGGTTGGGGTGGCCCTGGACAAGGATCAGGGGGTTCCCTTCTCCATGGTGGCCTTTGAGAGCTGCTGGAGACCCCCTGCCTGAGGACAAGGTGGGCTGGTTTGCCCGGCCCTGCCTGAGTGACACCACTGCCAGGATCACTGGCACACTGTGGATTTGGGCTGGGAATAACCCAACCAGAGGGATGAGCCACCAGGTCCCTCCTTGCCCTGCCACATCCTACAAACCACACATGTTGGAGGTCCCCTCATGTGACACAGGAAGGCAGCGAGCCAAGGTGGCTGGGAAAGCTCCTGTGCTTCAGGCTGTCCCCCACCCCCTGGGGACACGCTGGTGCTAGGTGGGAACAGCAGTTTGACCTGACACTGTTTGACCTCTCTGGCTTCCCTTACAGTGATGGACAGAAGACCTTCCCTGCTTGGAAAGCAGCAGCACTTCTGCTCTGAACCTCCTCAAGGATGGATTTGTCCAGCAAGCAGCATCACCCCAAGGGTCTTCTCTATCCTTCTGCTATGCCTCGTCCTCAGCACCCAGAGATATTCAACCTGGTGACTTCACATGTGTTCAGCCCCAAGAGACTCAGGATCCCACAGGAATCCTGAAAGGTGGAGTCAGGGACAGAGACATCTTCACCCCAGAGCCAAGAGGAGCCGCAGGGACCAGCAGGTACCTCCCTGCTCCCAAAATGGCCCTGGGCTCTCCACTGTAATGGGTCCTTCCCTCTGCTGCCCTCATGGTCGTGGCATTTCTGCACCCCCATTACAACCCTTACCCACCAGCTCTCCTCCCAGTGGGATCCAGCATCCCAGTGGGACCTTGCATTGCATGGTGGAGGCTGTGTAAAGCCCTCTCTAGCCCTACAGGCAGAGGGGATAGGGCAAGAGGTCTACAAATATCCTACCTGCCAGGTGGGATCAGCATGTCTGAAGTAGCAGAAGTTGTCAGTAATCCACTTGTAGATGGCAGCAAGGGTGATCTTGGGCTTCTCACTGGCTTCCATTGCCATGCAGATGAGGGTGGCATAGGAGTAGGGTGGCTTGACCTGCGGGTTGGTCTTGTAGTCGATGTCCTCCATGAGCTGAGGGTTCATGGTCACAGTGGTGTGTGCTGTCCTCGAGGTGGATGAAGAGATGGGCTTGCAGGGAGTGTGGGGCATGCCCATGCACGCCGGGTCAGCAGCCAGGGGTGAGCATGGGGCGGCAAAGCTGGGGATCTTCTGACAGTCGTGGGAGTCTGGCCCAGTGGGGCAGCAGGAGGACTTGCCCATGCTGGCATTAGTGATGGAGAAGTCCTGCAGCCACATGAGGCTGGTCAGGCTGTCGTCCAGGTCATCAAACTCATCCAAGGTACCCTGCTGCATTCTCTTCTTCCTCTCCCGCACGCGGCTGGACCACACGTCAGCCATGCCTTGGCTCTGTGCTGGCTCCTGCATTCACAGGGTGCACAGGAACAGGAGGGAGGAGATGGGGCAGATCCTGCAACAACAACAGGGAGAGAGTTGGAGACTCCCCGAGGTGCAGCCACTCTCTGGCACTGGGCCCTGGGTGCTCTGGGTGCTGCTGGGTGAGCCCCATCCGTGGGGTGCTGCATGCTAGAACCACATCACCTCCCCAGGGGTGCTTCAGCAGCCCTGAACCTCAGGGAAGGTCCCTCAAACTGCTGCACCCCCCTCCTCCCCCTCCAATCTGGGTGTTCCAGCACAAACCTTGGGCTGAAGAGCATCTAAATAAATAAATAACACCCACACCCCTCCTTTAAACAACCAAACTCCATCCCCCAAAGGGAGGATGCTTATCCCACTGCCCCAAGCAGGACAAAACCTCAAGGTCCAGCCCCTCGACAAAATAGCTTCAG